CAGTATAACAAGTAAGTCTCATTCGATCTCAGAGAGGGTTTAGATAGGGCAGTGATAAAGTTAACAAGAGCTAACAGTGAGTTCATTTCAGGGTTTCCGTCAGAACCCACTTGACTGCGAGATTGACTGCCGTTTGATGATTGAGGATTGGCGATTGTCGCCGTTGGACCGATCAGTGTAGGCCTGTCACTGTTGTAGGGGTATCAAAGGATCTCTTGAGTGAATCTAGCCGTCTGGGTGCCCAGCTGACGACGTGATGACGATCGTTGGGGTCATCAGCTCTCCTCTACCTCGGCTCACAATACCACATATCTCAAGCAGCTTGAACCATTTTGCTAACGGGAAGCTAAAGCTTCTCTCAACTGTACAAAGTCTGATTGGCTCCTCCTTCCGCTCCATGGATGTACTGGGGGTAAAGTGAAGCCAGCTGAGTGATACAGGGCCGCACACTGGGGCCAGAGTCAGTGGAGTTTAGAGGTACACTTTCCAAGGTGGAGAAAAGGCTGATTTGGGCCTTAAACTAAGGGTGCCTGTTGGTTTGTGCCTTAAACGAACCTTTTTTAACGGGAAGCTAAAGCTTTCTCAACTGTACAAGGTCTGATTGGCTCACCCTTCTGCTTCATGGATGTACTGGGGTAAAGTGGAGCCAGCTGAGGATAAAGGGTCGCACACTGTGCCAAGAGTCAGTGGAGCTTAGAGGTACACTTGCAAGGTGGAGAAAGGCTGATTTGGGCCTTAAAACTCGGGTGCCTGTTGGTTGTGCCTAAACGACTATGGAGCAGGTGAATCTGTGTGTGTGTTAGGTTAGGAAGCATGGTTCACGGGTATTGTGACCCGTTAACTTCGAATAATAGTGACAATATTTTTGTGTGTAGTTAATAATATTTTCAGTTACTAATGTATGCTGTGTGCATTTAATTTTCTTTATAATCTCAATCTCAGGTATAACCTTTGTTCCCCAGAGTAGTGTTTGCTAGGTTAGGAGGTGTGTATCTGTTGGGGTAATATAATTTTGTTGAGAGCCCTGAAGGCCTATCCAGCGTGGAGTTAATAAGCTCTGATTTTTATACCATTTTCAGTGCTGATATAATTTTGGTGAGTGCCCTTAAGGCCTATTCATTGTAGAGTTATTAATTTCTTTTTTTTAATACCATTTTCTCAGTGATTGATATTTTGTTGAAAGCCCTTAAGGCCTGGTTCATGTGCAAGCAACATTTCTTAATACTTTAAACTTATTATCCTCTAATGAGGCATTGCCTGAGTTTCTAATAATCTCAACATCATGTATAACTTTTATTCCCCATAGTATTTTAAGTTCAGGTTAAGAAGTGCTCATATTGGTGCACCATTATTTGATTGTGTTTGTAGTGTTGAGGGAATATAAGTGTAAATTTTACAGTGTCTCTATTCATCCCAGTCACAGACGTCCTTCCACGGGTCACGGACAATTCATTTTGTTTAGTAAATTTAAGTGCTCTGTGCTGGTTCGATTTCTCACTAAGGGCACTTCCACTGCAATTACCATCTAATAATCTTTAATAAACCCCAAGTCAAGGGAGAAATTAAAGTCCAGTAATTCCGACCGGTTTATACATGTTTTGTAAACACCGCTGACTGTAGAGTTGCTTGTCATTCAGAAGGGTTGACTACTTCTTTCCTTCGAGGAACCTTCTAGAAGCTTTATTCATAGATCCTCTGGTGGCGAGGCGCAGGAATTACTTACAGGCGTGTCTCAGCCGTGCCCTCAGTCAATCTATAACTGGACCTCTATAATGAGGCGAGGAGGGCGGGTTAACGTATAGTTCGCTGCCACCACTGTAATGCGACAGTGAGTAAGATGTAAGGATAATTACATATAAGTAGGAAGTATAGAGAGTAGGCATGTAAAGATAGGAAACTTGGTAGCGTGGCGGGATGTTATTTATCAAC